GTTTCTCTGTCCGACGAAAAAGAAAATGCTTTTTTGGGTAATTTTCACATGTTTTCTTGAAGCATGTACACATTTAAAATTGTTCCGTATATTTTTTGTATGTATTTACTCGTAACCAAGAAAGTTCATTCTAAAATGTCGGGGCTTCATTAGATAAGACAGTGGAAGAGATGGTCACTACGGAACATCTCAAAACGAGAAAAAAATATAACCTTTTTTACAGCTTTTTAACTTGCACTGCCAGCTTTAAGTATGTTGCTGTATTTACATGGTTATCTACTAACTTAACAGTAATGGACATATCACGTAATAAATTGGTTTTGAAACGACCTTAACTTGAATGTTTACGGTTCTGTAATTTTATGAACTGTACACGCATATAAGTTAAAAAACCAGCAATACCTGTTACCTATTACCTGTTAACAACCAGGTACCGATTGCATTTTAGTATCACTGGTCAACCATGGTCTTTGACAACTTAGAAAGCGATATTTTTGGCACAAAGGATGCGTTGCATGGCGGCCCACGAACAATTTTATAAGTTTTAGCATCAATTACTTAATTGGCATGAAATACACATCAAAACAATGTTTATTCCTCAATTAGATCCAATGAGTGACTGCAGCGCCCCCTACATTGATTTTCAGGATGCCCAGGACACCATGTGCCTTTCATGCATAATATTTCGAAATACACAAAACAAAACAAAACTCTTCTTCCGTTGTTAAATGACACTTTCAATACCCTTTCCGATGGTATATAGCAATTGCCCATGTGTGATGTAATTGTCTTTTTTGCATTTCTCGTTTAAGTGACAGGATAAGCATGACAAATGTTGGTTTCCATCAAATTTTAACATCTAAAAATATCTCCAGGTATCTATCTTTCATGCATATCAATCTTGTAAGGATGTTTTATTGGATATGCCCACTTTTCAGAACTTCTTTTCCACAACCCCCTTATCTTTCTGCTAAATATCAAAGTACTGAAAGTAGGAATGAAAATGACTTCAAATTTTCTAAATTTAAAACGGTGTGTATGCATGTCTGCCAATTGTGAAAAAAACACGAAGATCCCTGTTTAACTTTGGACGGAACTATTATTTCAGTTGTTCAACCAGCAACATTAATAAGACTTATATTCTACTCAAAATTATGCTTTTTACCTCATATCAAATATTTAAAAGATAAATGATCAAACTCTTTAAATATTCTTGAAGCATTATCCCATACATATTGGGGAGCAGACGGTGATGTGCTCTTGCGTCTATATCGCTCATGTGTCCGTTCAAAGCTTGACTATGGTTCCATTTTATATGGATCAGCTCGAAAATCAATCTTGCAGATGCTTGATCCAGTTCAAAACCAGGGGCTTCGTCAGGCTTTAGGTGCTTTTCGTATATCACCAGCCGTGAGCCTCTGCGTTGAAGCGAATGAACCACATCTAAGCGAAAGAAGAACAAAATTATTACTACAGTTTGCTTATCAGTTATAAACAACCCCCAAAAACCAAGCTTTCCAGTCAGTATTTTATACAAATTATACACACCTTTTCAAACGCAATGAAAAAATAATTCGATCTTTTGGCGTACGGCTTCAAAAATTGCTGAAAAACTCAAATTTAGACCCACAATCAGTCGAGATTTTTTCATTACCTAGTATTCCACCATGGACAATTCAGCTACCCGAAATAAATTTAGAATTACACAATCATGTGAAATCTCGTACTCTCCCACTTCAATACAAAAGTTATTTTTCTAAGTACATCTCGAGATTTCCTTTACATAAAATCTTATACACAGTTCTAAGGTCAATGAGAAAATTGCTGATGAAATCAAAAAGAATAAAATGAAAAGGGCTATTATCTGCTCCGACTCTTTGTCACTACTACATGTACAAGGTATTAAAAACCGGAACTTTAACAACAATCTCGTTCAAAATATTGCCCTCCGTATTAACGTAATTTTAGTTTTCTTTCAACTGATCTTGACTTTCATTCCCGGCCATGTCGGAATAAGTGGAAATGAAAAAGTAGAAAGAGCTGCTACCCCCGTCCGCCATTTTGACGTACAGATACACCCCGTCTCTCGCAGTTTGTTTTCAAGCCGTGTTTACACGAACATCTACAACATATTTTATCTCACTAGATTTATTCAGATTTGTTTGTATTGTTTGTATCAATTCATTTCAATTGTATTCCAGATGAATCTTGTAAAATATTTAGATTTCGTTCACAAGGTAACCGAGGGGATAAGCAATAACAACAGCATATTTAATATCTAATAAGTAACTACTGTTTTTTGTGTATGTATTTTTGTTGTATATTGTTTCATAGTGATTGTTTATGTCAGGTATATGTTGTTATGTATTAATGTTCATGATTATGTCTTGAAAAAGGGCGGATCGCCCTTAAAATTTGTCAAATTTTCTTTGTCTACACTGTCGTTATTATATCTTTGCCCATATTTCTTTTTAAGTAATGTTCATCCAACAAACATTTGTTCGTTCGGATCCAGTACCCATATTGGACTATACTGTTGTTATTACTTATGAGACCTATATAGGATCTTACATGAGTGGCTATGTCATATTGAATGTATTGAACGAGTTTGATAAATTCAATATGACATGGACACGAGTGTAAGATTCTATTTATCACATAACAATCATTATTTGAAAATAAAACTTCAAATACAACTATGCGTTATCAGCTGACTCTATATAGGTCAAAACCAAAGTAACTCCGATCATCGTATTGCCGTTCCGCGCAATGTAAAGTAGTTCCATATTTGTTTATCTAATTTATGAACAGTTTTAAATGCAATGAAAGTAACAATGACAAAAATAAACATTTCCAATTCATTTAATAGCTAAGACATTAAAATTAATCAGAAAAAAAATGCACTTTATAAAGTTCACACTTTTGTGACGTCACGCCTCATATGTCGTTTCCAGCAGTCACAACAAGCCTACTGAGAGTCGATGTCACTTTCAATTATACCTTTTCGGATACGTTTTCGTGGAGGTTCTGATTGACCACCTTGGTAAATATAAATTTTAATGTTCCCTCCACTCATCGGACCACTGAAAATTGATGCAAAGCCACCACTAATAGTCTCTGACATCGAAAATGAAGATGACGATTTTGTGAAACACGTGGAAATAGGCCTACTTGACGGCGTTGGCAGATGAGATAACGGAATTCCGGAGCTCAGGATTTGTGAAATCTACTTGTGTTGATCCGTGTTGATATGGCTATAGTTGTTTATTGATGAAATGTTCTTGTGTCCTGAAATTTGTATAATTTGGGTGGGGGTAATATTACTGTCAATGAGTTTTTGAACGAGATATTTTCGAGCACTGTGATTTGACAGATGTTTTTCAGTTTCGATTCCCGACAAATTGATCATTCTTTGCATCATGGTGCACAATTTATTGGCTACTGGATGTTTCTTGAACCAAATTGGAATATTAGGTGATGATATTTGTTTGGTTGCTGCGTAAAAAGGATCAGATGGGGCACCGTAGCCTGTCGGGAGTTTTTCACGGTAAAGTTTATAAATTGTCACAGGGCACCAGTCAGGGTTTTCCAAATTTGCCCACAGTTACGGTTTAACAGTTCTAATGTCACGAGGATTTTCTCCAGTTCTTGTTGTTGTTTGGCGTTCAGTAAATCCTAGAAATTCGCGTCCATCCCCATCTTTTCTCAGAGTTACTTCACCCCAACACATGTCCCTATGTTCTGCCAAGCCCCGGAGACCAAAATGAACGGTATTATAGCACCACACATTTTGTAGTAAGCTGTCAGGTGTGTTTGAACCTAGTTGACCAGAATTCCACAGCATGTTTATTTCAGTGTCATTTATTGAATCACTTCTGTGTGCTAAATTGCATTTTCCGTCGCGTTTCAACTGACGCTGTTTACTTTTCATAACCTCGGGCACTTGGGCAAACATAAGGCTGCTAACAATTGTGTGACCGTAGTTGTTGCGACGTAATTGCCGATCAAAACTTGACATTATCCCCCGTAATCTGGTTGATTCATATTCAGAACCATCCGTTTTCCTAATACCAATAAACAATCTACACAGCAAAGGACACAGTTTAATTACTGGGATATCGTGGATTTGTCTACTTTCATTGACTTCAGGCAACTTGAAAAATTGATACAAAAGTTTCACATCTTAGAATGTTTTGCTTAGAGTGTCTTTGTAAGATTGGTTGAGGATAACATTTCCCAATTCATCTTCATTTACGGTAACAAATCTGTTTGTTTTGGGATTGTCAGCCCCAGGCCCAGCATCCAAATTTGTCGTCTGCTCCGGTTGCTGTTCTGACCGGGCCTTTGTAACAGTGACCTTCCCAATACGATCTCGTTCAAGTTCAACTTTAAAATCAATTCCAGAAACTTCTACACTATAAAATGTTGCAAAACCTCTTGGAACAATATCCTTTACAGTACCTGTTCCTTTGTTGTCAATTGTAACCGTGTCGCCAATGTTTATCTGGTCAGTCAATTTTTACTACGGTGTAATAAATAAAAGTAGTGCTTGTAGTGGCGCAGGAATATGTTGACCAATCACAGCACCTTTAGGTTTTAATACACGTGTGTAATACCATATTTATGACATGGCCGTATGACATAGTAAAAAGGGCCAGTTATGTGATAAATATACTTCTTTGAGGACAAATAAACAAAACAGTACCTATCAACTGGATAACCCGAACCAATAATTAGCATCACTAATTATGATATGTACTATTTATGCGCTTCAGTAAGATGTTGCAAAAAAAGAAGAATCAAACGCTTGGATTTGTATTTTCTATTCATGCAGGTTTCGGTATTAATGATTACCCAATATGTTTTAATTGCTTAGTTTGGTAAGCAGAATCGTTTTTTTAGTATGTTCTCTAGCTATAGTCTATTGTTTAAATAGCTGCCTCAAGTTAACTATATAGATAATCACATTGAAGAATGACATTCCCATTTTATATTTACAGGTTTGTAACACATGAATAAGATGGCCGATCAGGATGACCATTACGAGATGTCTTGGATTCTTTATTATATCCTGGACAGGTATATAGGGAGCCGGAAGATGGTGGCCGTCAAGAGGAAGCTGACACTTGTGGGGGAGCAAATAAAGAATTATAGGAAAATTGGAGCTAAAATAGTTTATGTAGGAAGTTTGGCAGAGGGAATCGAGATGAAGGGCTCGGATCAAGATATGATGTTTGTTCACAATAATGTGATAGTGATGTACCCTGATCAGTACACAAGTATTCCTCTGGACAGGACGAAAACTGTTGTAATGATGCGAGATGCTGACAGTCGACCTGGTTATGTAAACCTTGAACTAGTTAAATTGGGACAGCAATTCAGTCCACACTTCACACAAAGCATTGTTCAAGTTGGGGATGTACTTTTCGTTTCAAGTGAGATGTATTCACGGGCTATTGCTGATACATTCAGTGCTTTTATAAACATAACGTTAGAATCACATGGACCAGCTCATACCATGAAGAATAAACAGAGTGACTTAGGAACTGATGTAGATCAAGTATACTCTTTTCTATGTACTAGTTGGCCACGGGAAGCTAATGAGTGGGTGAGTAGGACTCGTTTGCATGAATGGCCAGGATATAATTTGAGAGATCAGATAGTACAAGGCGGTTGTCATCTTGTCCCTGTAGGGGATAAAACATCTCCTGACACATTCCTACAATGGCGGATTTCATTCGTATGCGCCGAAAGGAAACTTATCCATTCTCTCAGTCATGTCCAGTTTTTAGTTTATGGACTTCTGAAGTACTTCCTCAAACAAATATCAGACAAGTTTGAGCAGCAAATTGTGGATGCGGATATCATTTCATCCTATATTATAAAAACAACTATATTCCATGCAGTAGAAAGTACACCCTATTCGTTGTGGCAAGAAAGAAATATATTTTTTTGTTTCATGTTGTGCTTCAACATTTTGATTGCTTGGGTGAATACAGGACATTGCCCAAATTACTTCATTAAAAGTAACAATATGTTTCTTGGCAAACTACATGGTGAAATTCAACAAAACCTCCTTCGTATACTTATAGAGCTCCATGATAAGAAATGGAAATGTCTTTCAGTTGGAACCTTCATACAACCATCTTTAGGATTACGAATCAACAGTGTGCTAAATGGAGAATGGGAATATGCATTACCTCCACCGACACAGTCAGAACGGGAATGTGACATGGAATTATTCTATTCATCACTTACAATTGATAATCGGTCTGCTTCACTTCCTGTTGCACTAACACTACTGTGTAATTCAAAATCAGACATCGATGAATTCATAGCTTACATCTCTACAGTACTTGCATTGTCTTATACAGGGATGGATACATTCGAGAAACATGTTGCTGCTGAAGGAAACAAAGCAAAATACAAATATCTTCGGAAATGCAGAAACCTTCTGGCACCTCTTTCATCAGTGTGTACAAGTCCAGGACAGCTTACGTTGGCAACATATTACTACCAAACTGGAAATTACATGAAAGGACTAGAGATATGTAAAAACATGATATCGTCATTCAAAATTTATGTCGGTGCTGGAACTTTTAAAGGAAAAGACAGATATGAACATCTCTATTGTGGGCGTGGTTACACCCTACTACACAAATGCCAGGAGGTATGTGCATCGCCAATGAAGTTTAAACAAACTCATTTATCGTTTTATCCATCCGAGATACACAAGGAGTTGACAAAAATACACGATTATGATGAACTTATTATCCCCCCACTCACTTATGCTGTGTTTCTGTCCTTTTTGTGTTATCATGAGCTCGGTGATACCAGAAGACGTCACGAAGCATTAATTCATCTTCGGGCCTTGAAATATGACGAGGAACAGGGAGGTTGTAAGCACTGGATAGTCCAAAATATATTGGGGATATGTTATGAAGTGGTTGGGGACAGAAGCAGAGCTCTCAGGGAATATAGGAACTCCCTTCGTGGCTTTAAAATGTTACAATATCAAAACCCTGCCAAGGACAGTATCGAACGATTGCAACGTTCACAATAACGACAGATATCGAAGCACCAATGTGAATCAAGGACACTACAGGAAAAGCTTCCAACCAAACATTCCGGGAACAAAGACAATAAGGTCACATAAATCAGACGTAACAGATCTTTGTTGATGTTAAATCAGTTTACTCGGTCCTATGTTACACTGCTCATGGTTCAATATACTGCCATTTGTTATGTTTTATTTACATATTTGTATTGCTGTAAGTGTATAGTTTTCACTATTTTACACTCAACTGATGAAAATGGCAAATTGAATAATGTGTATGATCGAAGATAATTGGAATGAAGTCTTGGAACCATTGTTGCAAAAATAATGCATGACAAAGGATCACCAGCCGAACTACAAAGTGTAATAACATAGTATTATATCATATAAAATAAAACAATATGATTTCTAGATATGTGTTGTTTTGTAAATAATTCATGACATTTTGTGTCAAATTCTGGGTATCCTGGTGTTTGATCTTTCAAGCTGGTATCAAGTATCAGTTATTTATTTACAATTGTGATATTAACTATGTTTTGGTTGTGCATCCCCTTTTGTTATGGCCATCGTTTATGGATTATTCGGATTCAGCAAAGTGGCAGATTTTGCACAAACTGAAAATTGTGCGCAATGAGGAAACATTCGGTTTCAATGGTAGACTTTTTAAGTGCACAGCAATATTATCATATAATCATACTGACTGAATACCAGTATGGATATTTGCACAAATTAAATGTGTTAATATTGTGTTTTAAATGTATCTCCTTGATGGTACTGCTTGCCGCTTTTCTTTAACAAACGCAATTGAGCCAAACTGGGTTTTGTTAATCTGTTTAATGTTACAGAGAATAAGAACTATGTATGTGTCGTTCCTCTTCGTATCCCTGACAGTGTGTGTAGTGTTTGTTTACACCCACATGGTACTGTAGTCTTTATCATCCTCAACCCCTCAACCCCATCCACAACCCCACCCCCACCCCCCAACCTCAACTTTTGAATTTTTTATCAATTTGGCTGCATTTCTATTTTTCTCAGTTGATTTTTGATATATGATAAAGACATGTTATATATAGTTTACATTGATACATTGTGCCTTTTTCAATATTTTTCTTATATTCTAATAAAGATCTCTTTTCGTGGATTTCTTTAAACGTTTTTGAAGCGTACACAATCTATTTACAAATCCTGTCTTTTTATCCCGTTTGAAGCAAAAGTGTAAATTTCTTCATTATTTAAGTTGTCCGTTACATCATTTGAAATGTTGATTCATATCGCTTGTTGAGAAACATTCTATTTCTGAATAAAATATTGCTAGTTTATATTCTGCTTGTCTGTTTGTTTGTTTGTTTGTTTGTTTGTTTGTCTGTTTAAACGACATGTGTAAATCAATAATGACTAAAACTGAGAAATTTTCGTCCAGTAAAATTTTCGCCCTTCGCCGTTATTATCCATTTTCGCCCAATATCAAATTCACCCTTCACGTTAGTTACTATGCATATTATGTTATTAACAAAGGTTCTCTGTATTTATAAATTTGCCATTATTATTGAGTGCGAAAAGGTCGAAAATTAAACTGCAGGGAAAAAGGGCGACATATTCAGACAAAGCATTAGATTCGCAGAGAAGGTTATTATTTTCCATTTGGACCAGGGTGGTTTTTAGTGTGGACTGTGTGAGTGGTCAATATGACACGGAGGTTGTCATTGTAGTCTTTAAAGGTGTTCAGTCTTTTCCGTGGTTAGAATAGCGGTCAATAAGGTCAGTGAGTTCTCGGAAGTGGTCATCTAGGTCATTGGAGTTGTAAATGAGATCAATGAGGAATCAGTGTGGTCAGTAGAGGTTGAAAGTGAGGTTATTTAGCCGTCAGTGAAGGGGTCAGTAAGGTCAATGAGGTCACGGAAGTGGTCATCGAGGTCAGTGGAGATGTCAATGATTTCAATGAGGTATCAGAGTGGTCATTGGAGGTAGTCAGCAAGGTCAGTAGAGGGGTCATTGTGGTCAATAATGTTGTCCGTGTGATTAGTGGAGCTGTTGGTTTATTGGTGTGGTAAGTGGCGCGGAGGGGTGGTGTTTTCAGTTGAGCTGTCTTGCTTGTCAGTGTAGTTGTCTGTATGATCTGTTGATTGGTAAATGAGGTCAGTAGAGTTATACGTGTTGTTTTAGGTCATTGAGGTAAGTAGGTAAATGCAAATAGGCAGTTAGAGTTGTCGTTGAGGTCGGTAGAATGTCAGTGATGTCAATAGAGATATCGATGATGTCAGTATTTGGATCAGTTAGTCATCGTTGTTGTCAATGTGGTCAATGCAGGGGTCAGTTCAGTCCGTGAATGAGTCATTTGGTCAGCAGTGGTGTTAGTGCGATCACTGGAGTTGTCGGTGAAGCTACTTCAGAGGGGGTCATTCAGATCAGTAGAGTGGTAAGCAAGATCAGTAGAATTGTCGGTGCGTTCAGACGAGGTTCCCGTGAGGTCAATGGAGAGGTAATAGAGGTAAATGGGTTGATCAGCGTTGTCGGCGGAGTTGCCAGTGTAGTCAGTAGAGGGGTCAGTGATGTCAATGGACATATCGATGAGGTCAGTATTAGGATCAGCTGGTCATCGTTGATGTCAATGCGGTCAATGAAGGGGTCAGTTTAATCCGTGAATGAGCCATTTGGTCAGTTGTGGTGTTAGTGGGATCACTGGAGATGTCGATGAAGGTATTGCATAGGGGGTCATTCAGGTCATAGAGGGGTAAGCAAGGTCAGTGGAGTTGTCGGTGCGGTGTAACAGGTCAGTGAAGGGATCGGTAGAGCGATCAGTGGAGGGGTATATGAAATCAGTGGAGGGGTCAGTTGGGTCAGTGAGATAAGTGGAGCTATTCGTGTAATTAGTTGTGGGGTGAGTGAGGTCAGTGGAGTTATCAGTGAGGGCAGTGGAGGGGTCATTTATGTCAGTATAGATAGCATTGAGGTACGTAGTGTTCCCAGTGAGATACGTTTGGATGTCAATGAGTCCAGTAGAGGGATCATCGCGTTAAGTAAAGATGTCAGTGTGGTCAGTGGAGCTGTTTTGAGGCCAGTTAAGGTATTGATGTGGTTACTAAAAGGAATGGTGTTTTGTGTTAATGCGATAAGTGCTAAATTTTGTCAGCGTGTTCAGTGGACGGGTATTTAGGTCCGCGAAATTAGTGAGTGAACGTTGGTGGTAGTTAGGTTAGAAAAGTGGGTGAGTTTGTCAGTGAGGTAAATAGAGTTCTCACTGTGGTCCATGGAGTTGTCTGAGATCATTGGTGGTGTCATTGAGTTTGTAAGGTCAGAGAAGTAATTGAAGGGGCTATTGAGTACAATGGAGTTGTCTATGATATCGATAGATTGGTCAATATGGTCAGCCATTGGTTGTCATTGAATTAACTGGTGTCGTTAGTGATGTCAGTGGAGGGGTCGATGAGTTCAGCAGGGGTACAGAATGTAATTGGAGTTGTAAGTGTGGTCAGTGAGGTCAGTGGAGGGGTCAGTGAGGTCAGTAGGGAGTCCGTGAGGTCAGTAGGGGGTACGCAATGTCGGTGAAATTGTCAGCGAGGTCAGCGGGGGGGGGGGGGGGGGGGGGGGGGGGGGGGGNTGGAGGTGTCAGTAAGATCAGTAGGGAAAAGGTATGGTCAGTGAAGTTGTCAGTGAGGTGAGCGGAGGGTCAGTGATATTGTCAGAGAGGTAAGCGGAGGATCAGTGGAGGTGTCAGTGAGGTCAGAAGGGGGTGCATTTGGTCAGTGGAGTTGTAGTGTGGTCAGTTAAGTTCTCAGTGAGGTAGTGGAGGGTAAGTGAAGTTGTCAGTGAGGTCAGTAGGGGTAAGTAAGGTCAGAGGAGTTTAAGTGTGGTCAGTGAAATTTCAATGAGGCCAGCGGAGGGTCAGTGAAATTGTCAGTGAGGTCAGCGAGGGTCAGCTGGGGCTAGTGAGGTCAGTAGGGAAAAGGTATGGTCAGTGGAGTTACAGTGTGGTCAGTGAAGTTGTCAGTGAAGTCAGCGGAGGGTCAGTGTAGTTGCCAGTGAAGTCAGCGGAGTGGTCAGTGTAGTTGTCAGTGAGGTCAGCGGAGTGTCAGTGAAGTTGCCAGTGAGGTCAGTGGAGGGTCAGTGTAGTTGTCAGTGAGGTCAGCGGAGGGTCAGTGAAGTTGTCAGTGAGGTCAGTTTAGAGGGCAGTTACAACAGTTAAGTTTTCAGTGAAGTTGTCGGGGGAAGGGACAATAAGCCAAATATTAAAGTAAAACGACAAAATGACTAACTTCATCAAGACAAAATAACAACGATGACAATATGACAAAGGAAAACGTTTGCAAATACACATTGGGATTGGATACGTCAGGGTAGAAATCAGGACTGAATATCTGCCATGTTCGATCTATAAGCTATAAACTATAGTCTGTTTTGCTGATTCCATGAAACATTAATCCGTTTTAGTTAAACCGAGAAAAATTCCGATCTGCGAAATTTAAGACCTGTTATGCATCTACATATATTGGTATATTAATATGATATTATTTAAGATTCCATCAGTATGTTCTACTCTAAATGTTTTCATTGTACTTAATAGAATACACTATACAGATCTTCTGAAAAAATCGCCGGGGGTCCATTAGATGATTCATGATGACTTTTCTAAAGGATCTTTCTTTTATAACTTGGATCTCCCTTCATAAGGATCAACAGTATAGAATTCTATCCTATGATCCAAACCCGGCCTCTGTTGCATGTTTTGGTGTTAATAGCTTTTTGGGGAAATATTACAATTAATATTTTCAAAAGCACTTTTACAAATACTAGTACATGAGATACACTCCAACCTATACATTAGAGTACACTATCACAGTACTGATAATCGAGATCAGAAGTACTATCTATAACACTATAATAAAACACAAGTAGTAATAATAATCAACATGTGATCAAAGGGACATAACTCTTCGTCAGTTGTTAAACTGTCATTACCCACCAGGAAACAATGCTAGACTTACAATATAGGTAATGGGTTAGTAAAAAACATATTAATCATAATTCCGTGGATTCTAAGAATGGATAGGTTGGTTATACCCCTACCATCCTCCGGTTTAAACCCAGAAAGTACATATTACAGGTAAAACAGGTATATATATTAAAAACAAGACTATTATTTTGGATCAACAGTATAGGATTCAGATCAACTGTATAGGATTCGTTAAAAGGATCTTTTCTAAAGGATCCTTCATAGGGATTGACTGTATAAGATTCTGGAGGAGAACAATTTTCTAAAGGATCCTTTATAAGGATCAACTTTACGTGTATAGGATTCGTCAAAAAGATCTTTTCTGTAAGTTTATTCATCATTGAGGCTTCACTGCATATGAAGTTTCATTGGAGTTTATATAGGACCTTTTCTTGGGCATCCTCGATACTCCAGGGGCTACGCTCACTTTCGCTCTCTGCACACCTGGAATATGTCATATCAAAATTGAAGGCTCAGATTGCGCCACCTTGTGGACGAGACAAGAAGACTATATAGCTAGTTTGGTCATTTCATGTATATCCAAACAATTTCGCGGTCGCATAACGCTTATGTTTACTGGCTTTGAAGTCGGGTAATCTCCAAAGGACAGGAAGCAGCCAAGCGATCGGTCAGATTTTCACTTCAAGTGAAAACAATCAGACGTGCCTGCAATTTTTGCTATGTCATATTCCAGGGGTGCAAACAGCGAAAGTGAGCGTAACCCCTGGAGTATCGCGGAGTTTCTGGAGATTAACCCACTGAAAATCCCTATTCAACTCAAAGCTGAAACAAATTTCAATTTTACACCCTGTGGTCAAATATTTCCTTAATTGACGGAACGTATATTGGCGTTATGTTGTCATTCCGCCCCTCAATCAACTTTATCCGGACTTGTATTCCAATGTATTATTAGATTTGCCATATTTATTTTATTTAAGATGGCTGTATTTCGTTAGGAGATACTTTTAAAATTTTCACATCTTTCTATCGTTTTTTCTCTCTCGAAATAATGACATTATATAGACATTCAGTTACGTTTCTTGTAAGAAAGAAAAATATATACATTTATTAAAATTGAGATATCTAATTAAAATGCAGGTTCCTCTATAATTATACAGCATGACGATTTATTAAAAAAAACACCCAAAACGACAAAAAACTAATCCAAAGCCCATTTACACTTAAATTATAACCTAGGCGAATGCTTTAATCAAAGTAAAATGTAGGGATCATACTTACTTCTGAAAAAAAACCAGCGAAGTAAAAGAATCAAGATAAAAAATTCTTTCAACTTTAAATGTGCGAAATACCGAGTACCATAACGGTGAAATATCTGGTATATCTGCATTTTGCATACAGATATTTCTAATTAAATTGAGACAAATAATGTATTTTAAATAATTTGAGCCGTATTAAAATAACAATAAAGATAAATTTATTTCTATTCTACATAGAAACATTTCGTAAAAGTAGAAATATATATCTGTATTTAATGGATAAAGATGCAAAATGAATGGCTAATGTCATACGTATACGTACACTTCTGTTTAGTCCGAATTATTCTGACGTTTTATCGACTTTTGTTAATCGACGACAGACCGATATAAAAAAAAAAGTCGATAAAACGTCAGAATAATTCGGACTAACTTCTGTTAAAAGCATATTTGGGGACATCGTAACGTTATTTAGCTGTAATATAATTTCATGGGATTGAGACATCCAAACGGCTTGTCATACATTGGTGTTAAAATGAATATACAGAGACAAAACGCTATCTAGATCTGTAGGTCATATCATGCATATTCATCAATTCAAGACTAATCCTGATGGTTATTATAGAATGGATCTATACATATATGTCTACTGTTGACATTTAGTTAACAAGCTATCATAGCAATAACATTTGTATGTTGATCAAGTTATTTTTCTGGCAAAATACATCACTACTAATAATACATAGATCCATAGTTACAAGGCTTTGACAGTCAGCTCTGAAATAAAAAAAAAAAAACAATAACACACAATTAAATAAAAACACATGAGAATATAACAATGATAAGCTTCTAAAGCAAAGCCTCTTTCTGTTGATTAATTATCTCGATTATCTAACTATCTCAACACTCTACTACCTTCTCTTGTCGATAACTCTCACTATAATCTTCGAAACGCTGAAAACTACAACCTTTCTAACAACAGACTTGAATTATCTAACGTTTCCTTCTTTCCTTCTACTGTTAGACTGTGGAACCAGTTACCTACTAGTTAGTCCGAATTATTCTGATGTTTTATCGACTTTTTTTTATATCGGTCTGGCGTTGTTAATCGACGCCAGATGGATATAAAATAGTCGATAAAACGTCAGAATAATTCGGACTACCTACTAGTATACGACGTAGCGCCACGTTCTCATCATTTAGAAACGCCATTCAAGACGTAAACTTGCCGCTTGTACCAAAGTGATCTGTTTCGTGTTAACCTTATTGATTACCAACGTTGTATATATATTTGGCTTCCCTATTGAAGACACACACCATTTCTTTTTTTACCTCTGATAAATATATCGAACAAAGAATTAAGCTTTATCGTGAACTGAATGAATACATGCCTCTTAATTTAAATCCACTTTTATTTGGAGATACATCTCTTTCGGAACAGGAAAACATAACGATATTCATGCATAGTCAGCAATACATTCGTGACTCTAACATATTCAAGTAACCCCGACCCATGTCCTCTCTCTCCCTCGCTCTCAATTGAACCATAATATCCTCTCTCTCTCTCTCTCTCTCTCTCTCTCTCTCTCTCTCT